GATGTATACAATACTGTACTTACTAGTAAAACTGGATTAGCATTACAGTCTACTGGACTGATGACAGTAATTCCTACTTTACAGCGTTTGTTAAATTTCCACCAAGTTTCATCAAGCACTGCCTCCAGGTAATAACGCACCCATCCGTGGGCGCCCTCAAACGTTGTTGGTAAGTTCCTAATATTACAAATTCATACATTGTGATTTCTGGTAAATTTTAGCTCAATTTGAAAATTTGACCTTTGAAGTCTGACTAATTGAGAGTGAGTGCACTATACAAGAGGCTTGCATGCAGCTTTCTAATGTTTGCTTCCTTCATCTACCTGTTGGTTAAAAGCCTACTACACTACTCTGAACTATGTGTCCTGGAGCACACTACCCTGCTACTAATTATTAATTTTAGAAAAAAAATACACTGAGCTAACACTTACGAATGAGGCAGCTGGAAACTGAATGGAAAGCAATGGTGTCCTGCACTCAACACTACTTCATTATTGGCACCTGTATGTATCAAAGAAATTGAGATACCAAACTTAGCTAATAAATAATAATAAAAATAAATAATATATTTATGAAGATATTATAAAACATGGAACTAAAGTCAAAGAAAATGGGCTCCAGAGACTGCTACCTGTCTTTTAACAATAATTTGTCTTTTTTTTCTTTTGTTATTGTAGCTCTTCCAGTACCATATGTTTGCTATATTATATTTAGGTTATTATGCAATGAATGGATTAACAGGGTTCGAAATAACGCTGGTCCGCCGGCCAATGGCTAGTAAAATGCATGGCGGACCTGTTAATTATCCCAATAACAAGTCCGCGTGACCAGTTAAAATGTCAATGAAAGTCTGACAAGTCTCTTATACACATCTAGAGCTTTAATCATTCACCTCTTAACGATGTCTTTACAAAATATTTCACACAGATAATGTCAACAAGATCGCTATTTTCTGTTTATTGTCATGTTAATGTCCGCTACGAACAGCCTTGGTCTCAGCATGGTCTCAGTCATTCAAGGCGAACCGATGAACATCACGCACTAGCCTAGACCATAGAGAGGAATCCATGGCTAGGCTAGACGTACAGAGGGAAATCACCTTCCGCATGTATAGCGACAAGGAGAAGTTGATTTCCGTCTGTGTGAGCGCCGTGAAGTTAAAACATCCATGTCATGTATCCATCCCACAATGCAACGTGGGACAAAAAGTTAATAAACAATGCAACGATTTCCAGACGAAATGAACCGTTCGTACAGTCCCAATAACATTGCCATGGAGAATATCTATTAATTAAAACGACACGCCAGTAAAATGTTAGATAAAGCACGGAGTTGGATAAAGTCAAAGTTACACCTTCCATTGTTTTAATAAAGTGCATTATCGCCTATGAATACTTAAAAATCGACTGTAATCAAT